TAGTATCGGACATAGGTCCAATAGGGAAATGTCCTCCACATGTCTACCATAAAACTTTTGAAAGCTTTTCTCAATGTTCGTCTGATAATGATTCCAATTGTGATTTGGTTGGCACTTTTATGGATCATTTTGATGACCTGTCTAAATTTTCGAGGGAGAGTACTCAAAATTCTGACAGTTTGGCTGTTGAGGAATCAGTTCTGGGTATGGAGCAGTTAGTTTAGTTATAGCGGGAAAACTCCTGCACCTACTCAGTGTGATGCCACTGTTTCTCCTTTGCATATTGCATCAGATTGTGATACTGATGTGAATTGTGACTTTGTCAAGTTTGATGACATTGCTGACTATGCTGGCCCTAAGCTAAACAATTCTGGAGTTTCGGCTAACTCTGGGTACTTAAGTCAAATTCTGAGCAAAAGGCTGAAGTGTCAGAGTTAATTGTTTGCTCACTTGTTCACGGATGTGCCTGACCATACAGATTTAGTGTGTCATGATGTAGATGTAGATGGCGCTGTGCCTGTGAAACAACATCCCTACCGGATGAATCCAATCAAGCTTGAAAGTAATTCAACTGAATACTGATCACAATCCACTGGCTTTCCTTCATAAAATGAAGGGGCGGTCGGGTAGCCTAGTGGTTAAAGCGTTCGCTCGTCAAGCCGAAGACCCGGGTTCGATTCCCGACATGGGTACAATGTGTGAAGCTCATTTCCGGTGTACCCCGCCATGATATTGCTGGAATATTGCTAAAAGCGGCGTAAAACTATACTCACTCACTCACTCATCAAATGGAGAACAAAAACCAACGCCTGTTGCGCCGGAGCCTGTCTTTGCAAGAATGTGATTTAGACAACAAGCATAGCAAAGGCAAAGACAACGTTATTGCGGATGCATTATCCTGAGTTGATTTAATGTGATCAGTTAAGAACCAAGGTGCATTATTAGGATACTTGGAGAAGGTATTCCTTGTAGCTGAATCATGATATAATTCCATGAAGGTCCATCCATCTCATGCCCCTCTTACCAAATCAGTGGATTCACAGTCCCAATTTCGTGAGATCTAGATGGATTCTTAGTTTAAGCAGTGCTTGTCTGTGTGCCCAATATAACCTACCATCCATGCATATAAATAAACGGTTCAACGTTGACAAAGGGAACATAGAAACAGACAGGTGTGTAACCTCGTGCCTGCAATTCGCTACACATGTCATGTAGCTTGTTACATAGCCATGATACACTGTGCACAGGTTATTTGGGGCCTATTGCTGGTAAGAAGAGTAAACGTTCGACCTCTGTCTCTCCCACTGCTGTATTGTGTCAACAGGAACACATATCCGCAGCTGTAGTTGCAGCACCAGTCCGATACGAGTGGGACTTATAGGGAGGGCCCATACCTAAACACTTGTTAGATTGTGATACCATTGCAGAATACGGATATCTTGTTCATACGTCAAAAGAAAAATTAGGCCTTGCAGCTAAATACTTGAACTTTCATGAGTGTCTGTCCCAGATGGAATTGGTTGGATGCTGAACCGAGTGAAGAGCATCACTGTGCTGGATGTTTGTTTTCACAGTTGGAGCCGATGTCGCGAAATGTGCACCTTTGTCGATATCACTGGCTTTGGTTGAACTGATTGCATGTGAGGACAAGACGTAGGAACTGACCGTGAAATGAGCTTCCATACTTTGATTGATCACCGTGTTCGCACATACATGAACTTGGACTTTCCTAGATATATGGAGTGTGCACATACGACATTTACAAGATTCCTCTTGCCCTGCACGGGTGGCCCAGTCGTCTAAGGCGCCGCGATTCGCTGCGCAGAGTTGCGTCCTTTGGGCACGCCAGAAACCTATGATTTTGGGTTCGAATCCCGGTTCGCCCCGATTATGTTTCTAGGTTTGCCAGCACCATACCCGTGCTCGTGGGTTTCACCGAAGTGGTAAACGTCTGAGACCTGCATCACTTTGGGATTTCCTCCCACATCAAGCTGACACGCCACAGTAAGCTGGAATACTGTTAAAAGCGGCATTAAAGCCAACTCACTCACTCACTCAGTCTTGCCCTCATAGGTTTGCTGGATTGTGTGCCTGACATAATCTGAATTATTCATCTTACACTCTGACGGACAGGAGCTTGATAAATGGTATTCATATACTGTAAACTACGTTTATAACGGACACGTTCATAGCGAACAGACGGATATAACGAACTGTTTTTTTTTAGTTCCGGCCATTTGCTTTATATATGCTGTATATAAGCTTATAACGAATTACAGTTATAAAGAATTAAAATTACTGGTCCCTTCGAGTTGGTTATAACCATAGTTTACTGTATTTAAATAGCCCATGGACAGCTGAAGGATGTCTTTGAATGTAAATACGAACATAAATCATAAAAGTTGATGTCCAGTCTGTTATCTGTTTCATTTCTTTAGGACTTTGGCTTTTTCTCAAGATGGACATCCTTGCTCATAAACACAGCTGGACATGTAGTAACACGCTCTCACTTGGAGCAGCCGAGAATACTCACAACTCAAGATTGATTTTTTTACCAGTGCGTATGTGTGCGCTTAATTCGTCATCAACACCATCCATGATAGCTGAAGGAGGCAAGCTGGTACTTGAGAGGTGTACATCAGAGGGGTCAGATATAAATGCAGTATTTATGTGTTGAAAATTATCAAGTGTGTTTCAATGACATAATGCCTTTCTATGTGTAAACTAAACAGATTGCAGTCAACATTTAGAAGAGTTTATGTAGATACTGTAAATCATGAAATGAATGCGGCAAGAACATATCAGTAAAAATGATAAGAAAGCTAGTCCTATGATTAATTACTTGATGAAGAGTACCGCTTGAGTTCGGGAAAACGCTGGAAACAATGTATTTATCTATTATTTTGCTCGTACTCACTTACCACTTCAATATATGGGATAATGTTATATCTCTTGAACTACTTTTAGAGACGCTTCATCTTGATGCCTTGAGAACAATATGTCGTGCAACACGTGGTGCAAGCCATAGTAAATTATGCAAAGAAACTGGTCTACAGAAGCCAAGAAACTATGTTTATATTACAAAATGATAGATCCGAATGAAATCCGGTCATAAAGTGCGTAAGTGGTAAGTGGTATACACAAAGAACATAACCCCCAAACTGTATTCAGTGTCACAGTACTGCAACAGTCTGAAGAGCACTGAAAACATCTTCCATCAACATCTTGTATGTCTAAGGTGTCATCCAAGATGGGAACCCAGGAACCTCAGCCTGCAAGGTCTCCACCATGAAATAACTCAGATGAAACAAAGTTTATATATGTTTGGTAACGGGTAATGAGGCGTAGGTTCATCATCAGGTTCCAGAGTCTGAACGTGCATCAATTCAATGTAAACACCCAACATTTTCTGCGCCTAAGACGTTTCGGAGTTATATCTTACAAATAAACTTATAAACAAATCTGAAACAACATTTACAACAACAATTTTATGTTTTCAACATACGATCCATGATCCTTAGGAAACAGGCGTAAAATATATCTGATTGGTGTACAAGTAAAGTCTGTTTGCCTACAGAGTACTGGCATTCTCGTCCACATGGATCCTACGAATTTTCTCAGGCTGTCTATCGAGGATTGTGGCATATGAAGGTCGCTGTGTGTGATGGGCTGGTTTGGTTTGCTCGAACGGGTCATCAACAGGGTAGCATCTGCGATCATTTATATGAAGTCTGTCAGCTGTAAGACTTGCCTTTAGACCTCGTCGTTTAGCTTCCTTTAAATCTCATCGTGTGTTCCCTGTTCATCATGTTACAGTATTATCCTTCTGTTGTCATTACTTAACCTATTCATGTTAATCTCTCTCATGTTTGCAATTGTTCTTACTGTTAATCCTCCAACTACTATATATATTCTGGACCCTGTTAATTAATTCCGTCGCCTTTAGGTGAATAAAGAGGTTGTTATCCATAAATTGTGCCTACTTTGAAATCGGTTTCAGATTGCAACTTTGGCTGTCAGCAGCATCCCTGGATTATGTCTGATTAGCGCTGTAAGACTTGACTGTAAGGAATCGGTAGCGGGAGCATAACATCCGACAACGACTTCTAGGTGTACGTCACTTTGCTGCCACGTCACTGAACTTCACGCCTGGCATGGTCACTCAAAAGTTCAGATTACAAGGATCGGCTGTTAGTCCACTTCGCAGATGAGTGCAGGTTTCATCTTGACAGCATCGAAGCAATAATGGCTGTCAGCGTGTTCATCGACGTAGGATGGAGCGTTAACCAGGCGTTCAACGTTCTGCATCCCGTAATGCGGGGAACCATCACTGCACATAACATGACCTCTCAGGTGGTGTTCGATAGAAATGTGAACATGTACACCGTACCGTGATTAACTTATCCGTTAACCCTCAAGCACCCCCCCCCCCCCCCTCCCCCCCCCACCGTTCCTTCAGATCCATGGACGTCACATCACTTTACATCAGTGTGGGATAAAATGCAGCGCCGGTTACTTCCAAGCCAACCAGGGAAGTTGGTCCAGCTACGTACGACAGGCCTCTGTGACGTTTACAGAGGACATATGTTGACACTACCATTATGATTTAATGTTTCACTGACATCAATATATTGTTTTGTTTCGATTTCGTTCTTTGTTTGTGTTGCTTTATTATTTCCCATGATAGTCAGTCATGTACAGGAATTTTTAAAAAGTATATCAGGCAACATACTATGTAATCTACCATATGTTGAGTCCCAGAGTGACGGATTGACGTCTCAGGTTTACAACTAAGGTATTACAACTGAATGCTTCCCAAAGCAGATACTATTTAATATATAATATAATATAATAACCAGGACATCTGTGAACTAGATGTGATTAAGACGTCAGTGATGTATTCAGAACGTGTCAACTCGGGCAACCTGGTCCGACGACCCCCTGGTATCGCCCCTACGGTCACGGGGGTGGACTCTCTCTCGCTATCGGAGTAAATATACAGGTTGCCAGTCAGTGTCTGGCTCTACTCGGTCAGTGTAAGGTTTATCATGTTGCTGTTGGTCGTAGCTCTCATCGTTCCTGCCCTGGGGGCCCGCCCAGGATTCACAGACACCGGCACTATAGAGTGGAGAGACTGTGGTATGTAAAGTGCGTGAGCGACTTCATATTTTCTCGTCGCAACGTCAGCAATATATTATATATCAATGATCGTCGGTTCGTTTCCAAGATTCGCCCTGAGTACGATTCTTGTTGTGTCAGCTGCATATCCATGTCCTGAGTGATGACGTCTTAAACCTGCAGACCTTACACGCCTAAAACCTGCAGACCTTCGAGGCTTCCCTTACACGCCTAAAACCTGCAGACCTTCGAGGCTTCCCTTACACGCCTAAAACCTGCAGACCTTTGAGGCTTCCCTCCCAGGTCTAAAGCCTGCAGACCTTCGAGGCTCCCCTTCCACCTAAAAAACTACAGACCTTTGAGGCTTCGAGGCTTCCCTCCCACGTCTAAAACCTACAGACCTTCGAGGCTTCCCTCCCACGTCTAAAACCTACAGACCTTCGAGGCTTCCCTCCCACGTCTAAAACCTACAGACATTTGAGGCTTCCCTCCCACGTCAAGCTGACATACCGTCATATAACTGAAATAGTATTCAAAGGGGCGTTAAACTTTCTTCACTCAGAAATATTGTGGACGCTGACCATATGTTTTGAGTGAGTGAGTTGGGTTTAACACCGCTTTTAACAGTATTCCAGTTATATCACGGCATGTCAGCTTAGTGTGGGAGGCAAGCCCGAAGTTATGCAGGTCTCAGGCATTTACCACTTCGGTGAAACCCACGAGCAGGGGTATGGTGCTGACAAACCTAGAAACATAATCGGGGCGAACCGGGATTCGAACCCAAAATCATAGGTTTCTGGCGTGCCCAAAGGACGCAACTCTGCACAGCGAATCGCGGCGCCTTAGACGACTGGGCCACCCGTGCCCCCATATGTTTTGAAAAAACAACATATTATCATCGAGATGATAAAGAAACTCATCAACGAACATATATATACAACCCCATAATTGATTGTGTTTTACTGTTAGAAATCATTGATAATAAAATTGATCATATCTGTATCAAATAGTCAGAATCTATTGAAATCACACAGATGAAATCTTTGATTTAACCGCTTCGATTATGTGAACATGCCTGAGTCCATCTGAGTCTATATGCTTCAAGGCATGCCTCGATATGTTATGTGTACATGCCTGAGTCCATCTGAGTCTATATGCTTCAAGGCATGCCTCGATATGTTATGTGTACATGCCTGAGTCCATCTGAGTCTATATGCTTCAAGGCATGCCTCGATATGTTATGTGTACATGCCTGAGTCCATCTGAGTCTATATGCTTCAAGGCATGCCTCGATATGTTATGTGTACATACCTGAGTCCATCTGAGTCTATATGCTTCAATGTATGCCTCGATATGTTATGTGGTCATGTCTATCTTGAGTAGCTGCATGCAATCTATACAAATTACTTACAACGACAAATGTTTAAACCATTCTTGTTTTCCTTGATTCTGAAAAGGATATAATTATGTTATTTGTGTCTCCATGTCAGGTGTTGGCGACTCCTTGGTTTCCGTGAAGCAGTTCGACATCAGCCCCACTCCCCTCAAGCTTCCCGGAGATATAACTGTGTCCTTTGATGGAACTATCAGCCACGATATCGCTGACCAAATCACACTGGACGTTCTCATGGAGAAGAAGCTGCTCGGGACTTTCATAAGGGCGCCCTGCCAGGGTAATGTCGGCACATGGTAAGTGTTGAATAAGTCAGATGTCGGCACATGGTAAGTGTTGAGCAAGTCAGATGTCGGCATATGGTAAGTGCTGAGTAAGTCTGATGTCGGCTCATGTAAGTGTTGAGCAAGTCAGATGTCGGCTCATGGTAAGTGTTGAGTAAGTCTGATGTCGGCTCATGGTAAGTGATGAGCAAGTCAGATGTTGGCACATGGTAAGTGTTGAGCTAGTCTGATGTTGGCACATGGTTGGTGTTGAGCAAGTCAGATGTTGGCACATGGTGAGTGTTGAGTAAGTTTGATGTCGGCACATGGTTATTGTTGAGCAAGTCAGATGTTGGAACATGGTAAGTGTTCATCAAGTCTGATGTCGGCACATAGTAAGTGTTGAGTAAGTCAGATGTCGGCACATGGTAAGTGTTGAGCAAGTCAGATGTCGGCATATGGTAAGTGCTGAGTAAGTCAGATGTCGGCATATGGTAAGTGCTGAGTAAGTCTGATGTCGGCACATGGTTAGTGTTGAGCAAGTCAGATGTCGGCTCATGTAAGTGTTGAGCAAGTCAGATGTCGGCTCATGGTAAGTGTTGAGTAAGTCTGATGTCGGCTTATGGTAAGTGATGAGCAAGTCAGATGTTGGCACATGGTAAGTGTTGAGCTAGTCTGATGTTGGCACATGGTTGGTGTTGAGCAAGTCAGATGTTGGCACATGGTAAGTGTTGAGTAAGTTTGATGTCGGCACATGGTAATTGTTGAGCAAGTCAGATGTTGGAACATGGTAAGTGTTGAGCAAGTCAGATGTCGGCACATGGTAAGTGTTGAGTAAGTCTGATGTCGGCACATGGTAAGTGTTGAGCAAGTCAGATGTCGGCACATGGTAAGTGTTGAGCAAGTCAGATGCCGGCTCATGGTAAGTGTTGAGTAAGTCTGATGTCGGCACATGGTAAGTGTTGAGTAAGTCTGATGTCGGCACATGGTAACTGTTGAGCAAGTCAGATGTCGGCACATGGTAAGTGTTGAGCAAGTCAGATGTCGGCATATGGTAAGTGCTGAGTAAGTCAGATGTCGGCATATGGTAAGTGCTGAGTAAGTCTGATGTCGGCATATGGTTAGTGTTGAGCAAGTCAGATGTCGGCTCATGTAAGTGTTGAGCTAGTCAGATGTCGGCTCATGGTAAGTGTTGAGTAAGTCTGATGTCGGCTTATGGTAAGTGATGAGCAAGTCAGATGTTGGCACATGGTAAGTGTTGAGCTAGTCTGATGTTGGCACATGGTTGGTGTTGAGCAAGTCAGATGTTGGCACATGGTAAGTGTTGAGTAAGTTTGATGTCGGCACATGGTAATTGTTGAGCAAGTCAGATGTTGGAACATGGTAAGTGTTGAGCAAGTCAGATGTCGGCACATGGTAAGTGTTGAGTAAGTCTGATGTCGGCACATGGTAAGTGTTGAGCAAGTCAGATGTCGGCACATGGTAATTGTTGAGCAAGTCAGATGTTGGAACATGGTAAGTGTTGAGCAAGTCAGATGTCGGCTCATGTAAGTGTTGAGCAAGTCAGATGTCGGCTCATGTAAGTGTTGAGTAAGTCTGATGTCGGCTCATGGTAAGTGTTGAGTAAGTCTGATGTTGGCACATGGTTGGTGTTGAGCAAGTCAGATGTTGGAACATGGTAAGTGTTGAGTAAGTCAGATGTCGGCACATGGTAATTGTTGAGCAAGTCAGATGTTGGAACATGGTAAGTGTTGAGCAAGTCAGATGTCGGCTCATGTAAGTGTTGAGCAAGTCAGATGTCGGCTCATGTAAGTGTTGAGCAAGTCAGATGTTGGAACATGGTAAGTGTTGAGTAAGTCAGATGTCGGCACATGGTAATTGTTGAGCAAGTCAGATGTTGGAACATGGTAAGTGTTCATCAAGTCTGATGTCGGCACATGGTAAGTGTTGAGTAAGTCTGATGTCGGCACATGGTAAGTGTTGAGCAAGTCAGATGTTGGAACATGGTATGTGTTGAGTAAGTCAGATGTTGGCACATGGTTATGAATGAGTGAGTGAATGTATTTGACGCTGTTTTGAGCGGTGTTTCAGTAACAACATGGCGCGCACAGCGAATTTCGGCGCCTTAGACGACTGTGTGGAACGAGTGTTTAGAATTGAAATGGGGAATAGAGAGCAACAGTGTCAGATGAGTAGTTTAGTACAAGTTATGTAGAGCCCTGTTGTCACCGTAGTGGCATCCCAGTAAACAGAGGAGGGCATGTCGCCCTGCTGGAGATGAGGACCAAGAGGATGTCAATGTTGAAGACACAGTTTAAGAAAGTGACAGCATACCTCTGCAGGAATTAGGTCTTTTGAGAAAATGATAGACGACATATTATAGCCGTGCCAGAACGCATATCAAGCATCTTACACATACGCCAACAAATACACAATGGGCGGAAACAAGTTCTCGAACTTTGAAACTCGCACATACATTATGCGAGTGGCGATTCCAGCTGAGACTAACATGTGGTGTTGTTGTTGCATTAAGGGTTTAAGAGGTCGCCTTCTGCCTAATCAGTTTCGGCTGACCTGTCCCTCTTTGGCACACCTGTGTGTGACTAGGGTATATATCTATTGTGAGTTTGGTATACATGTCATTTCTGTTTTTGTATTGATATGATTTCTTTTTCCGTCTATTGATATAATTTCATTTTTATCTTTGGCTGCTCTGTTTATATACGTCCATCTCTCAGAAATAGAGTTAGTTTGGCCTTCGCTATTGCATCTCTTGGCTTTATGAGATCTATGACAGATAGCAATTCACATACCAATGAGCTGAGCCGAGTCTCCAGATGAGGCTAAAGTGAATTGAGAAAAGTTACCATGTCAGATTATAAAGGGGTGAATGGAGTTTTTACTGTTAAAATGGAAATGGATTACAATGAAAGCGTATACTAGTGGATGCGTTACAATGAAAGTGTATAGTAGTGGATGCGTTACATTTGAAGCGTATACTAGGGGATGCGTTACAATGAAAGCGTATACTAGTGGATGCGTTACAATGGAAGTGTATACTAGTGGATGCGTTACAATGGAAGTGTATACTTGTGGATGCATTACAATATAAGCGTATACTAGTGGATGCCTTACAATGAAAGCGTATACAAGGAGATGCGTTACAATGGAAGTGTATACGAGGATGCGTAAAAGTAAAAGTGTATACTAGGAGATGCGTTACAATGAAAGTGTATACTAGTGAATGCGTTACAATGAAAGTGTTTACTAGTGAATGCGTTACTATGGAAGTGTATACTAATGGATGCGTTACAATGAAAGTGTATACTAGTGAATGCGTTACAATGGAAGTGTATACTAGTGAATGCGTTACAATGGAAGCGTATACTAGTGGATGCGTTACAATGGAAGTGTATACTAGGGGATGCGTTACAATGGAAATATATACTAGTGAATGCGTTACAATGAAAGTGTATACTAGTGAATGCGTTACAATGGAAGTGTATACTAGTGAATGCGTTACAATGAAAGTGTATACTAGTGAATGCGTTACAATGGAAGTGTATACTAGTGAATGCGTTACAATGGAAGTGTATACTAGGAGATGCGTTACAATGGAAGTGTATACTAGGAGATGCGTTACAATGGAAGTGTATACCAGTGGATGCGTTACAATGGAAGTGTATACTAGTGAATGCCTTACAATGGAAGTGTATACTAGTGAATGCGTTACAATGAAAGTGTTTACTAGTGAATGTGTTACTATGGAAGTGTATACTAATGGATGCGTTACAATGAAAGTGTATACTAGTGAATGCGTTACAATGGAAGTGTATACTAGTGGATGCGTTACAATGGAAGTGTATACTAGGAGATGCGTTACAATGGAAATGTATACCAGTGAATGCGTTACAATGAAAGTGTTTACTAGTGAATGCGTTACAATGGAAGTGTATACTAGTGAATGCGTTACAATGGAAGCGTATACTAGTGGATGCGTTACAATGGAAGTGTATACTAGGGGATGCGTTACAGTAGAAGTGTATACTAGGAGATGAGCTACAATGAAAGTGTAGAATAGGGGATGAGATGCAATGGATGTGTATACTAGTGGATGCGTTACAATGAAAGCGTATACTAGTTGATGCGTTACAATGAAAGTGTATACTAGTGGATGCGTTACAATGGAAGTGTATACTAGTGGATGCGTTACAATGGAAGTGTATACTAGCGGATGCGTTACAATGGAAGTGTATACTAGTGGATGCGTAACAATGAAAGCGTATACCAGTGGATCCGTTGCAATGAAAGTGTATACTAGTGAATGCGTTCCAATTGAAGCGTATACTAGTGGATGCGTAACAATGAAAGTGTATACTAGGAGATGCGTTACAATGAAAGCGTATACTAGGGGGTGCGTTACAATGGAAGTGTATACTAGGGGATGAGCTACAATGGAAGTGTATACTTGTGGTTACGTTACAATGACAGTGTATACTAGTGGATGTGTTACAATGAAAGCGTATACTAGGAGATACGTTACAATGGATGTGTATACTAGGAGATGCGTTACAATGGAAGTCTATACTAGTGGGAGCGTTACAATGAAAGCGTATACTAGGGGATGCGTTCCAATGGAAGTGTATACTAGGGGAAGCGTTACAATGGAAGTGTATACTAGGGGATGCGTTCCAATGAAAGTGTATACTAGGAGATGCGTTACAATGGAAGTGTATACTAGTGAATGCGTTACAATGGAAGTGTATACTAGGGGATGCGTTACAGTAGAAGTGTATACTAGGAGATGAGCTACAATGAAAGTGTAGAATAGGGGATGAGATGCAATGGATGTGTATACTAGTGGATGCGTTACAATGAAAGCGTATACTAGTTGATGCGTTACAATGAAAGTGTATACTAGTGGATGCGTTACAATGGAAGTGTATACTAGTGGATGCGTTACAATGGAAGTGTATACTAGCGGATGCGTTACAATGGAAGTGTATACTAGTGGATGCGTAACAATGAAAGCGTATACCAGTGGATGCGTTGCAATGAAAGTGTATACTAGTGAATGCGTTCCAATTGAAGCGTATACTAGTGGATGCGTAACAATGAAAGTGTATACTAGGAGATGCGTTACAATGAAAGCGTATACTAGTGGATGCGTTACAATGGAAGCGTATACTAGGGGATGCGTTACAATGAAAGTGTATACTAGTGAATGCGTTACAATGGAAGTGTATACTAGTGAATGCGTTACAATGGAAGTGTATACTAGGAGATGCGTTACAATGGAAATGTATACCAGTGAATGCGTTACAATGGAAGTGTATACTAGTGAATGCGTTACAATGGAAGTGTATACTAGTGAATGCGTTACAATGGAAGCGTATACTAGTGGATGCGTTACAATGGAAGTGTATACTAGGGGATGCGTTACAGTAGAAGTGTATACTAGGAGATGAGCTACAATGAAAGTGTAGAATAGGGGATGAGATGCAATGGATGTGTATACTAGTGGATGCGTTACAATGAAAGCGTATACTAGTTGATGCGTTACAATGAAAGTGTATACTAGTGGATGCGTTACAATGGAAGTGTATACTAGTGGATGCGTTACAATGGAAGTGTATACTAGCGGATGCGTTACAATGGAAGTGTATACTAGTGGATGCGTAACAATGAAAGCGTATACCAGTGGATGCGTTGCAATGAAAGTGTATACTAGTGAATGCGTTCCAATTGAAGCGTATACTAGTGGATGCGTAACAATGAAAGTGTATACTAGGAGATGCGTTACAATGAAAGCGTATACTAGTGGATGCGTTACAATGGAAGCGTATACTAGGGGATGCGTTACAATGAAAGTGTATACTAGTGAATGCGTTACAATGGAAGTGTATACTAGTGAATGCGTTACAATGGAAGTGTATACTAGGAGATGCGTTACAATGGAAGTGTATACTAGGAGATGCGTTACAATGGAAGTGTATACCAGTGGATGCGTTACAATGGAAGTGTATACTAGTGAATGCCTTACAATGGAAGTGTATACTAGTGAATGCGTTACAATGAAAGTGTTTACTAGTGAATGCGTTACTATGGAAGTGTATACTAATGGATGCGTTACAATGAAAGTGTATACTAGTGAATGCGTTACAATGGAAGTGTATACTAGTGAATGCGTTACAATGGAAGCGTATACTAGTGGATGCGTTACAATGGAAGTGTATACTAGGGGATGCGTTACAATGGAAATGTATACTAGTGAATGCGTTACAATGGAAGTGTATACTAGTGAATGCGTTACAATGGAAGCGTATACTAGTGGATGCGTTACAATGGAAGTGTATACTAGGAGATGCGTTACAATGGAAATGTATACCAGTGAATGCGTTACAATGAAAGTGTTTACTAGTGAATGCGTTACTATGGAAGTGTATACTAGTGAATGCGTTACAATGAAAGTGTATACTAGTGAATGCGTTACAATGGAAGTGTATACTAGGAGATGCGTTACAATGGAAATGTATACCAGTGAATGCGTTACAATGGAAGTGTATACTAGTGAATGCGTTACTATGGAAGTGTATACTAGTGAATGCGTTACAATGGAAGCGTATACTAGTGGATGCGTTACAATGGAAGTGTATACTAGGGGATGCGTTACAGTAGAAGTGTATACTAGGAGATGAGCTACAATGAAAGTGTAGAATAGGGGATGAGATGCAATGGATGTGTATACTAGTGGATGCGTTACAATGAAAGCGTATACTAGTTGATGCGTTAAAATGAAAGTGTATACTAGTGGATGCGTTACAATGGAAGTGTATACTAGTGGATGCGTTACAATGGAAGTGTATACTAGTGGATGCGTTACAATGGAAGTGTATACTAGCGGATGCGTTACAATGGAAGCGTATACTAGTGGATGCGTTACAATGGAAGTGTATACTAGGGGATGCGTTACAGTAGAAGTGTATACTAGGAGATGAGCTACAATGAAAGTGTAGAATAGGGGATGAGATGCAATGGATGTGTATACTAGTGGATGCGTTACAATGAAAGCGTATACTAGTTGATGCGTTAAAATGAAAGTGTATACTAGTGGATGCGTTACAATGGAAGTGTATACTAGTGGATGCGTTACAATGGAAGTGTATACTAGCGGATGCGTTACAATGGAAGTGTATACTAGTGGATGCGTAACAATGAAAGCGTATACCAGTGGATGCGTTGCAATGAAAGTGTATACTAGTGAATGCGTTCCAATTGAAGCGTATACTAGTGGATGCGTAACAATGAAAGTGTATACTAGGAGATGCGTTACAATGAAAGCGTATACTAGGGGGTGCGTTACAATGGAAGTGTATACTAGGGGATGAGCTACAATGGAAGTGTATACTTGTGGTTACGTTACAATGACAGTGTATACTAGTGGATGTGTTACAATGAAAGCGTATACTAGGAGATACGTTACAATGGATGTGTATACTAGGAGATGCGTTACAATGGAAGTCTATACTAGTGGGAGCGTTACAATGCAAGCGTATACTAGGGGATGCGTTCCAATGGAAGTGTATACTAGGGGAAGCGTTACAATGGAAGTGTATACTAGGGGATGCGTTCCAATGAAAGTGTATACTAGGAGATGCGTTACAATGAAAGCGTATACTAGTGGATGCGTTACAATGAAAGCGTTTACTAGGGGACGCGTTACAATGAAAGTGTATACTAGGGGACGCGTTACAAAGATAGTGTATACTAGGGGAAGCGTTACATTGACAGTGTATACTAGGGGATCCGTTACAATGACAATGTATACTAGGGGATGCGTTGCAATGACAATGTATACTAGGGGATGCGTTACAATGATAGTGTATAATAGGGGAAACGTTACATTGACAATGCATATCAGGGGATGCGTTACAATGACTATGTATACCAGGGGATGCGTTACAGTGACAATGTATACCAGGGGATGCGTTACAATGACAATGTATAGCAGGGATGCGTGACAATGATACTTTATACCGGGGGACGCGCTACATTGACAATGTATACCAGGGGATGCGTTACAATGATAGTGTACACTAGGGGAAGCGTTACATTGACAATTTATACCAGGGGATACGTTACAATGACAAGGTGTACCAGTCGATGCGTTTGAATGACAATGTATAGCAGGGATGCGTGACAATGATACTTTATACCAGGGGACGCGCTACATTGACAATGTATATCAGGGGATGCGTTACAATGATAGTGTATACTAGGGGAAGCGTAACATTGACAATGTATACCAGGGGATGCGTTACGATGACAATGTATACTAGGGGAAGCGTTTCAATGACAGTGTATAGTAGGGGATGCGATACAGTGACAATGTATACCACGGGAAGTGTTACAGTGACATCGTATACTTGGGGCTGCGTTACAATAACAGTGAATAGCAGCTTATGTGTTACAAAGACTGTATATACTAGATTATGTGTTACCCTGACAGTGTATATTAGTTTATATGTTACAATGACAGTGAATACTAAGTAATGTGTCACAATGACAGTGTATACTAGGTTATGTGTTACAAAGACAGTGTATACTAGGTTATGTGTTACAAAGACACTGTATACTAGGTTATACGTTACAATGACAGTGTATACCAGGTTATGTGTTACAATGACTGTGTATACTAGGTTATGTGTTACAATGACAGTGTATATTAGTTTATATGTTACAATGACAGTGTATACTGGGTTATGCGTTACAATGACAGTGTAAACTAGAGTATCCATTATAATGACAATGTATACTAGATGATCCATTTCAATGACAGTGTATACTAGGTTATGCGTTCATTCATTCATTCATTCATACTAGGTTATACGTTACAATGACAGTGTATACCAGGTTATGTGTTACAATGACAGTGTATACCAGTTTATGTGTTACAATGACAGTGTATACTGGGTTATGCGTTACAATGACAGTGTAAACTAGAGTATCCATTATAATGACAATGTATACTAGATGATCCATTTCAATGACAGTGTATACTAGGTTATGCGTTACAATGACAGTGTAAACTAGAGTATCCATTACAATGACAGTGTATACTAGGTTATGCGTTACAATGACAGTGAATACTAGGTAATGTGTTACAATGACAGTGTATACTAGGTTATGCGTTACAATGACAGTGTATACTAGGTTATGTGTTGCAATGACAGTGTATACTAGGTTATGTGTTACAATGACAGTGTATACTAGGTTATACATTACAATGACAATGTATACTAGGTTATGTTTATAAAGACACTGTTTACTAGGTTATACGTTACAATGACAGTGTATACTAGGTTATGTGTTACAATGACTGTGTATACTAGGTTATGTGTTACAATGACAGTGTATATTAGTTTATATGTTACAATGACAGTGAATACTAGGTAATGTGTTACAATGACAGTGTATACTAGGTTGTGTGTTACAATGACAGTGAATACTAGGTAATGTGTCACAATGACAGTGTATACTAGGTTATGTGTTGCAATTACAGTGTATACTAGGTTATGTGTTACAATGACAGTGTATACTAGGTTATACGTTACAATGACAGTGTATACTAGGTTATGTGTTACAAAGACACTGTATACTAGGTTATGTGTTACAATGACAGTGTATACCTGGGGGTTCGTAACAATGACAGTGCATACCTGGGGGTGCGTTACAATGACAGTGTGTACTAGTTTATGTGTCACAAGGACAGCGCATACTATGGGATGCGTTACAACGACCTCAGATGTATTGATGTACCCACAGCCACTACACCGACCCCTGCCACTTCCTGAACACCTTCAAACAACTGGGCACCTGTCCGCCCCAGCTGACTGCCAAAAGCCTCCCCTGCACCTGCCTCTTTCGCCCCATGAAGCTCCACCTGCCCCCGTCCACGTTCACCGTCACTTGCATCAATAATGTTTTCTGGAAGACTGTTTTAAATGATGTAAGTGAAGCCTGTAAACCAAATGATATGATTGATTTTCATCGATATTTCGCTGTACTAATAACCGATTGTGCAGGAGAAAGAAACGACTCTTATGAAAGAATGGCAAGCCGATTCTGACATAATAATTGATAATTTCTACACGTTAGGGTGTTATTCTATCTCAGACCCAAAGACTGACAAAAGTTAAACAAAGCGAATAACCGTTTCAAGACCTTTAGTGACGTCATAGTTGTTCACCATGTATTTGATATATTCCTATACTAAGTCTTACATTTGACATCATCCCGTTTATTTCCAGGGCGAGTTCCACGTAAAGATCACCATGAACGACAAGCGCACTAACCAACTTCGTGGCTGTGTGGAGATCTATCTGGTTATTGATGAGTAAATATCAGGTCCTGACCTGAGTGAAGTTACGTGTCTATTTGACGGTTGAAAGTAAGACAAATAAATTATAAAAAATGAGGTTTTGTCTGTCTATTTAGAATAATCCTTGTCTAATGTTAAAAGACGCTCCTAATCTAGTTGAAGGGAGAAAACAACGAATGCATATGTTTTTTTTAGATGTTTTAGCAACTTTGAATGTTCAAGTTTATTCTACAATTCCGGCATGTACTTATAAATCACTATCGACTGGTAATGATATACGGTGTTCAGGAAAAGGTGAGCGGATCCTGCTCAACTGATGGCATGCCAACATATTTGGAATCATACTATTAATGAAATGCTTTCTGTTTTGTAATTTAGCGTGATATTGTGTGAAGCTTACACCATAGACACACACAAATATACCCACCTACATAAACGAACACACACATACACAAACACACATACACACAAACCCGAAAACACCCACAAACACACACATTTACACACATAAATGCAGAAACGCACACACACACTACGCACACATAGGTACACACAGACACAAACACACATGCACACTCGCAGACACATACACATACACATAAACACAGACACACACTCACAAATATACACACGCATACACACATGCACATATAAACACATACACTCACGCACGCACACATATACACACATTAACACAGACACACACATACACGCACATGTACGCATATAAACACAGACACAAACATGCACAGACAGACACAAACACACACGCGCACACGCGCATACACATACAAATATAAACGGACACACACGCATTCGCACATACACACATATACACATAAATACAGACACAGACACTTACACATACACACTCACAAACACACGCACGTGTACATACACACATACACATTTACAGGCGGGGTGGTGGGGTAGCCTAGTGGTTAAAGCACTCGCTCGGCACGCCGAAGGCCCGGTTTCGATTTCCCATATGGGTACAATGCGTGAAGCCCATTTCTGGTGTCCCCCACCGTGATATTGCTGAAATATTGCTAAAAGCGGCGTAAAACCTTAATCACTCACATATACGCACAAACACACACTCGATAAAGAAAGGTTTGACTGTCGGTACAGATGCTGAAAGCCTTAAGAAGCAGGTGATCAACAACTGGGTAGGGCATGGTTGTGTGAGATCGGTTACACACAGAGCTAACAACTATAAAAATACCTTTATAAAAGTCTTGTAGAACTTTTAAATGGCCGTTCGGGTATCCTATAAAATAAAAAGTCTGATATACACCCACCAGTCTCCAAATGGACACAAAACCATATCACATATAAACCTGATCACATCACTGACGTCATACATCCAAATCAGAACAACAACAACTAAAGCATACGGTAATATCAAAGGAGACGTTGTCTGGTTGCGAGTACCATATAACAACTATACATAGGTCAGTTGACGTAATCGTGCACGTGCTTTCAGAGGTTGCTGTCGATTGTTTGAACAAGAATGTTAGTAGTTGAAAAACAGTACACACAGACTATGATACGTATTAAACCATACCCCAATCTTACGAATTAAATGTATTACTATAACCTAACTAACGTCAATAGATATAAAACGTTAATGCCAGAGAATAATTAGTCTCGATTATCTGCCGAAATAGAATCCATCGGACCTAAAAGGCAACATAGTGATGAATATTATATGAACGGATCGGTGAAAAAGAGTGATAACATCAGGTGTTCGCGAAAATGGTAAGCATGTCCTGCTCTTCCGGTAGCATCCGGCACCCACACAATTTGAATAAAACAGTGTTTGTTTGTTGCCTAACGCCGTGCAGCAGTAATCCAGCCACACAATTTGAATAAAACAGTGTTTGCTTGTTTGTTGCCTAACACCGCGCAGCAGTATTCCAGCCATACAACGAAAGCCTGTCAACAATCGAGTTTTAACCACATAATCCAGTGATGGACCAGACATTTCAGTTATACGACAGCGTATTCACTGATTGTTTTGGAACTTAAAACGATATCAGTACAGAGATTCTGCTACTTGCAGTGTAATCCTCAGCATACAGAATGCCCCAACAAGCCAATCAATGTACTTTGCAGTACAAATCAGAATGGTCTTTCTGCGAAGAGGTCAAGAAGCGTCACACTACTGCAGTGCTTTAGTGGGCGTTCATAAAGTTTTTCCTCATTTGGCCTGTGACCAAATTGATGCAATTCTATATTTAAGGATTGAAGTTGTATTTGTTGACGTTCATGAGCTAAGGAAGACGTACAGTGCCTGAGTTGAACAAATTCCATGTTGCGCGAAGGGATTACCGCTTGAGGCGGCGAGTTTTGAATTTGTGATGCATGGTGGCCATCGACAATATGGAGCTTAGCGATTTCTTATGGTAAGTAGAGCATTCTCTGTTGTAATTTCGAATGGACGCTTAATTTCGGTGACCCCAACACATCATGATCTGTCTGGATTCAAATACTGCATAATTAATAGCCTGATTTGCACGACGATACCGTCCATATATGACGTTATTTTTTTACATTGAGGAATTCCCATAAAGTAGTTCTGTATCTCTCCGCTCGATTGACAACGTAATCACGTGACATGCTGACGTTCGTCAGTGAATGAACGACAGTTAGCTTGGTAGTGTTCATCTCTGCGAGATTATCCGCTACAGTTAATATACTCTTCAAAAACAGAAACTTGACATAGATGTAAAACCACCTTTTGCCAAATATCTAAAATATTTACATTAAATGAGAACCAAATAAATCAAACAGAAAGATGATGTGTCTATAATTCGCGAAAAGCACATAAACGTAGCGTTTGGGGATCAAATTTACAGCTTCATCCAAACGCAGAATATCAGATCAAACGGTACGCAACAGACTGAGGGAGGCTGGACTTTTTGCACGAAGACCTGTTCGACGTCATGTATTGACCCCACGTCATCTGGCGGACCGTCTGCTTTGGTGCCAACAGAGGGTTAGATGGGCACGTGCAAGGTGGAGAAATGTACTGTTTCCTGACGAGACCGTTTCCTACTCACACGTGCTGATGGGCGCACACGTGTCTACAGACGTTGGGGTGAACGTTACGCCCCCAAATGTGTGCAGCAGGTTGTCCCATTTGGCGGCGGGAGTGTCATGGTATGGGCCGGAATTCATCACGGTGGTAGGACGCCTCTCGTGCATGTGGCAGGTGCATTGACAAGTGTGCGTTACAGAGACTTGATCCTACAGCCTTACGTTCTTCCTCACGTCAACGTTCATGGCGGACAGTTCCAGCAGGACAACGCTCGACCGCATATTGCACGTGTTTGTCAGGACTTCTTACAGCACAACAACATCCAGACATTACCTTGGCCACCCCGGTCACCAGATTTGTCCCCGATTGAGCATCTGTGGGACGAGTTGGATCGACGCGTTCGCAGAAGGAATCCACCACCCCAAACACTTCCGGCGGTTCTTGATGCACTTCAGCATGAATGGCAGCACACCCAACAGCGTGTTATTGACAACTTGATTACATCTATGGGTCATCGGTGTCAAGCGGTGATTGATGCACGTGGTTGGCACAACCGATACTGACATTTTCTCTACCCCTGTGACATAAACTGTATCGTGTACGTGTTTCAATTATGGTTTCTGTGTCCTATTTTGAAACAATCGCATTATATTAAATTTTGAAAGTCAGTGTCAAGTTTCTTTTTTTGACGAGTATATTTTGACTTGAACAATATGTGCCCGTGTTTGATCAGGTGAGCATTTTACCTTGCCTGTGCAAGTTTGTGACGGGTGCCACTGCGCGGGCAGAACACGCTCTCTCTTTTTGGCAGAGACCTGGTATTGTCAGTAAGTGACAGTGATTCACACAAATAACATCCTCATGATGTGGACACACACTGGACTATGCTGCCTGCAGAGGTGTCGTAGGGTTATGGAAATGGTTCTGTCACTTTTGTTTATTGTGAATAAAATATCCCCAGTTAAAAAAAATGATGCGGACAAGTAAATGTTCGCAGTATTTTATTGTTCTTCCTAAATCAGCTGTTTATATATTGACCAGTGTTGCGTCCAGGCATCCGACAGATAGGCATGAAAGAGGATACATGGTAATTCTTAATTAGTCAGGACATCTGAAGGCAGTCAATCTGTGTTAGTCAGGACATCTGTAGGCAGTCAATCTGTGTTAGTCAGGACATCTGTAGGCAGTCAATCTGTGTGAGTCAGGACATCTGTAGGCAGTCAATCTGTGTTAGTCAGGACATCTGTAGGCAGTCAATCTGTGTTAGTCAGGACATCTGTAGGCAGTCAATCTGTGTTAGTCAGGACATCTGTAGGCAGTCAATCTGTGTTAGTCAGGACATCTGTAGGCAGTCAATCTGTGTAAGTCAGGACATCTGTAGGCAGTCAATCTGTGTTAGTCAGGACATCTGTAGGCAGTCAATCTGTGTTAGTCAGGACATCTGTAGGCAGTCAATCTGTGTTTGGGCCCGTGAAGATTCCGGGGTAGAATAGGCCTTCAGCAACCCGTGCTTGCCGTAAAAGGGGACTATGCTTGTCGTAAAGGGCGACTAATGGGATCGGGTGGTCAGGCGCGCTGACTTGGTTAATGCATGACATCGTATCCCAATTGCGTGGATCGATGCTAAAGATATTAATCACTAGATTGTCGATTATTTACAGACTGCCGTCATATAGCTGGAGTGCGGCGTTAAACAACAAACCAACCAACCAATCTGTGTTTGGGTGGAAACTGGAATGGCTGACTTAGAAGGATACTGAGGAAATGCATCCCTCTTGAGTCAGACTATATTACTATGTGTCCGTGGTGGTTTACATTTTGAGTCCAGGGTGACGTAGGTCTACTAATTCAGATATCCTTCTAGGGTAGGGTATTGGGAATCCTTCATTTCATATATGCTGAGATAAATATCTTATAAATCATGTCATGAGTCAGTCCTGCTCTGCATGGTATCTCTATACTTCGATACTCAGATAGGCTTCGACACATCCGCGGAGCTGACTGGTGTGCTTGTCGTTCAAGGTAATCTTCACGTGGTAGTCACCCTGAAACA